AAAAACGCTGAATAGTACTCCAGCGTCGCGACATGCCGACGTTGGTACGAGTAGGTTAGTCTACAAACGTCGCCTAAAGTAATTGATTTTACCCGGCAGAACGAAAGAAGGAAACTCCGCTTTTCAGTGGTCTCATGCGATTGATTTTTGACAAACAATGACCTTTCAGAGGTCAAATTGCTGTCAAGAATATGAATTGGCTGCTTCGCAGCAAAAAAAAAAACAATTCTTTTGCTTTCGCATACAACAGCAACAACAATAACCACTTACAGAACGGAATGATGGTTTACAGATAACGTGAGAATTTAATAAAGGAAACTGGTTAATGGTGAATGAAAAATGACCTGGTTGTATTCAACTTTTCAATTGTATTAAATAGCTTTTGATGTATTTTTCTAATTCAAATGGTAATATTGATTTTCTTCTTTTAGTTAACTTCCGTTAACTAAAATCCGAAATCCCACTTGGTCTTGATCCACATCAATTCACTTATCGTCAAAACCGATCAACTGAGGACACGGTAATCTGCATGCTTCATAGAGTGCTGCAACATCTCGAGAGAGAGAGAGAGACGATATGTTCGAATGCTGTTTATTGACTTCAGCTCTGCTTTTAATTCAGTCATCCCTTCCAGGCTTTTTCATAAGATGTTAGAACTAGGTATTAATATAAATACATGTAAATGGGCCTTTGACTTTCTTACTAAACGCCCACAAATTGTAAAGGTGGGTCAGTTTACTTCTGATACTATTACCTTAAGCATGGGCGTGCCTCAAAGGTGCGTGTTATCCCCTTTCCTTTATTCACTTTATACTCACGACCTTGTCATAGATATAAATGATTGTTATATGGTTAAATTTGCCGATGATGCCACAATCTCCGGGCTGATACACGACAACAATGAAGCGATGTATCGTGGGGTCTGTAGAAATACTATGTCTATTTTTTACAAGTCCGTTATTGAGAGCGTTCTTTTATATTCCATTGCTGTTTGGTATTGTGGCACCACCGAGGCTGACCGAAATGACCTCCGACGTATTGTTAAATATGCCTCTCGTATAATCGGTCACAATGAGGATGATATTGAGGACATATTTAATGCCAGAATGCTTAAAAAAATAAAATGTATAATTGAAGATCCAACACACCCTGGTAATTCTCTCTTTGAATTGCTCCCCAGTGGGAGAAGATATCGGTCAATTTATGCTCGAACGAGCAGGTTCCAAAAGAGTTTCTTTCCGTCAGCCATCCGTGCCCTCAATGCAATACAATAGCATTTCATTGTGTCCGTTGCTCTGATAATTCACTGTTTTTCCATTTGTTCATTGTTTGCCGAATTGGACGTTGGTCCATGTTAAAAAGAGCCACAATATTTTCTATGTGATGTAATGTATGCGTTGCAAATGATATAATAAATTGAATTGAATTGAAGTTCGTTCTCTATTGGTAATTTTTTGTTTATAAATGTTTATAATCTATAACTGAGCATAACATAAAAACAAACAATACATCTAACAATAATCCTAGAAAGTGGTGTGTCTAATCATTATCTACAAATGTTTCGTTCAGTAGAACATTCATCTAATGTGATCCTTAGTCACAGCCCTGGTCAATATATATTTATATGTACTTTGACAAATTTTTTAATAAATAAATAAATAATTCACATAGTATACATACTATTGTTGTAGATATTTAAATTGTATTCTAATGTGCTGACTAGCTTTATATCAGATGATCAATTATGAGACTACCAATTGCCTTACCTTCCATAGAATGGTATCCTAGCCTTCGTAGCATTCTGTTTTAGCTGATCGAATGCACCTAAATAGGATTAAAATCATATAGGACCATTGTTATAATTATATATTTGACAAGGCTAAGAATTAAATTAAGAAATAAATCAATATCAGAGTTATCATGTATCATTAGTAAGAAGTTTGAAGTTCCATATGATAACAGTACAAATTATTGGTACATAAAATCACTAGAGATAGAATTCAAGGCAAAAACATAGAAAACGAATGTGCAAAAAGTCTTTATGAACAATTGAAAGATGTACTGTATATCATGAGCTAAAAAAATAGTATTCATATCCATTTTGAATTACCTAATTTGTATATTATACATACAATTAAAAATTTGAATAAAAAATGTTCATTGTCAATTAACAAAAAGTTAAACGATACCTTTCCTGTATTCTTTTGCATAGATCCTTTAATTAACAAGTAATCAATTTTGACTTTTGGTGTAAAATGTTTGGAAATTAACAAGAACTACTTTTTTAGGTCAGTCTGTGGTTGGAAGTTAATATCATATCCTTCTAAAATGAGCAAATTCAATATTTTAATTGTATGTTTGAGGTTTTTTATTTCTAATTTAAAAAAAAAAAATTATTTTTGTTTTCTCTATTTGGCAGAGAGTACATCTTAAATTACACTTTTGATGTTGGATGAAAATCAAATAATGGAAAAAATATCCTAGATAAATTTACTGTCTAATGTTTGTTTCAACGTACCTGCTCTGAATGTATCTGCGCATACAAGACATGACTTCCATCCTTTCTTCATGTAATGATATGCCAACTGGAACAACAAGCAACATAATTTAGCCTTCATACACCAAAGTGTCCATTGATTAAATCATTTAAATTAATATCTATTATGCAAACCCTAAGTTAAGCAATAGTATTCATTATTCATATTCAAATGAAAGACATTGAGTTTACATGTTACTTTATTAATTATTCTTAATGTTCCATTAACTTCAAGATGTGCCACATGAAACAATTGTAATTATAATCTATAAGCCCATCCTACACTTATTATATCGGCCCGAGGACCACCTTAATTTTTGGCCGACTCAAAACGACCGTTCCGTTTAGTTCGTATTTTGAATCGTCTCAGGGTCACATTGCAAACATTCACACTTCCTCCTTTGCAGCGGGCTGATGATTTGCAGGACAGGAAGTTTTAGCCACCTCAGCTGATGTAACTATTAGGTGTGATTGGGCTATATATTTAATAGAACATGAACCCAGTCAGATCATTCTTGGTAAGTTTGAGCTCAATTAGATCATGCTGAAAATTTGACATTTGAACCTTGACATTTGGTGTCACAACCACTATCTATGATGATCACACAAATGGTGAGCATCCACTTATATCTAGTGGCTTTAAGCTATTGCTGATTTTCAATGTTTGAGCCCATTTTCTCATTAACCAAAATTGACCCTAAATGACATTTGACCCCAAATTTGTGTTTATTTTGACAATCAATTTTTAGAGCTGCGTGTAGCTGTCAATGGTCCAAAAACAATTGTGACAAAAGAAAACAAAAAACAAATTCTTTTTTTCAGTATACACAAATATATGATTCAAAGCTCACACAACATATTGCTTTTGATTTTTAGTTGTTTTTAAGTTTATTCCCTGTAAATGCCTAGCAGAAGTATGCTTACTTTTGTGCAAGTAGTGGTTTTGCCACTTCCCTGCAATCCTACAAACATTACAACATTCTTCTTGCCCTTTGTTGGTGTCCAAGCCTTTACTCCTGGATCAACAAGCTGAAAAATTAGAACACAAGTTAAAAAATAGCACTAAAACTAGTAGACCATATAATTTATATATATTTTAGATGTTTTTGTATAAAAGTGTGGACAAAAGCCAACCTTAGACATTAAAAAATTCAACAACCAACCAACCAATAACCAATACATGAAAAAAGGATATATCTGGTGAATAAGATATCTACAGAAATGTAAAGTCTTTTACATAATTAAAGACCTAGTCAAATATTTATGAAAGTAGAAATGGGGCAGCAAGCATAACTTTCAGATGGATAAGTGTGCGTTATAAAAAGACACAGAGTATCCAAATTAAGGGCACTAACCAAAAAATGTGAAATTGACCTCTTACTTTGTGTTTTTAGCACATAGTCATACAATGACAGAGCATTTATAATTTTATTTGAATTGACCCAAGAATGAGTTATAATATAATTATTGTAAACTAAATTTTTAATAAGTTACAATGCAAATACAATACATCTATAATACGTAATCAAGATAAATGTAATTCAAGTTATATTGTAAAGACAGATACAACAGCATGAATAGAGAATGACATAAACATTTGTTAATTTACCAATTGGCAATAGTCCCCTTCCCATAATAGGGTGTCCCCTTTAAATGGGTTGATCGTAGCGTTAAACTGTATATCCACCTCATACCATGAAAACATGTCCCCATATTAGGGATGTTCCCAGAATAGCTGTGTCCCAAAGGAGTTGTTTTACTTAATAAATAATTTTTTTACCTTGACAAGCTCTTTAAATACAGCAGTCTGTATCATCTTTCGTTTGTTTAAACCTGCTGCCATTTCATCAAAGTCGATGACTGAACGAACATTTTTTCTTAACTGGGAAACAAGTTGAATGTTTACATCTGCTTCTAGCAAAGCACGGCATACTTCTGTCAGCATAGAATTCAAGGCCTAGAAAAAAATAAGAACAAATTAATTAATAGACGGTTAAAATACCATGTGTAATGTTATAAATAATATTATATTGGTACCATAATTGTAAATTAACACAAATAAGTTTGGTACTAGAGTAGACTAGACTAGAAGTAGTGGTGTCCATGACCTTAATTTAGTATTATTAAAGATACTGTCTTTCATGAGTTAAGATTCCATATTTGAATTGCTTAATTTGTATCTATTCAAGTAAGTTATTAGCTTACAATTTAAAATCTGAATGAGATTTATCATCAGTGATTACAAACACTGCATATGTGTTTTTTATGATGTAATACTGTACATAAAAATGGATAATATGTTGCCATTAAATTTGGGTATAAAATAAACCTAAATGTGTCGCACATTAGTAGTATTTAGTTGCCTATAATTCTAAAGTACCAATGAAAATTGAATGTGTTTAAATATGCTTTTGGAATAAATAATAATTGTCAAATCTGAATCAGTTATTGGGAGGGTTATTTTGTATGATGTTGAGCACCATTTCCATGAATTACACTTACATCTTCATCAATAATTGTTGCATTACTCAAGGATTTAAGAGCCGATGTGATCTTTCTTCCTAATTCTGCTAACACCATCTTGTTTTGCAATCTTCCCTTATTATAAATTTAAGAAAAAAATAAATAAGAAAAAAAATAAATGAGTCCTTAATAAACTTAAAACCAAAACGCAGGCTTCCCAGACTGGGATAAGCCAACTTATTATTAGTTTCTTTGGGATGTAAGAATCCAAATCCTCTACAATCAGTAAAACTAGGGCCTAGGCCTATGTGGTTTGGCCAAGGTAGCCCAGTGTTCCTGTCTGCTGCCTGTAGTTGGACCAAAGACTGGTGGTTGGAGCAAGTATTTCGACGACGGAGCGTACAGCAGCTGGTATACCATGAAAACCTACAAGATCATGAAGAAATACGTTTAATGAGCGAAATCAAATCTAAGATATATATAAAGACAAGAAGACATATATTTAAGTGAGTGAGCATTTTAGAAAGTATCATAATAATGAAGTCTAAAAATAATACTTCCTACCTTCTATTTTCTGTACACAAGAGATCCACGACGAAAACCTAAACGAGAAAAGCCAACATTTGACCTGGGACGCCCTCTACAAACTCGCTCAATTTTGTGTGGCGTTTGAGTGGAAATTTGTTCTCATGGTTGCTGTTGCTGTGGTAAACAACAAGTGCTAGGCCTAGGCCTAATAAAGACTTACTTTTCTAGGCTTAAGCTGAGGTGCACTAAGTAATTGATGCAAATGAATATGACTGATTTTTAATTGATCGGTGAGTTTAGACTAAGTATTAATCAGCCTTTCATACGACTCGGCCTGGCTACTTGGCCCTCCCTAGCTAGGTTAAGCCTAGGCCTAGCCTGGGGGGAGGGCTTTATTTTTTGGCTAGCCTAGCCTAGCTAGGCCCCTAGTAGGCCTCCTCCGGCCTACGCCTATAGGGAGGCTTTAGTTAGGCTTTCCAACTCTAGCGTTCCGTAGATAGAGAACTGATTTTTTACAGCTTTTTAAAATTGTCCATGGAATTGATAGGGCTTCGGCTGATTTATTTTTTGAGTTTGATAAAGGTACTACTAGGTAGGCCTAGGCCTGGAGAAGAACTAGCCTAGGAGGTACTCCTTTAAGATTAAACATCAGCACTTTAGGACACATATTAGAAGTCACGCTTTTTAATTTTTCATTTAGGTCAGTCTGGCTATGGAATTCTTTATCAAACAAAGACTTTAATTCTAACTAACTCAATTAATTTGTTTAAATCTGCAATTGAAGTACGTTTAGCTGACCATCCGCTTAAATTTGTGCCCTATGTTAAATTTTAAAATCAATTTTTTTGAGGGGCCTATAATAGTATAAGCATCGTTTTGCTTGGCCTCTATACCCAGGAGGATCAGATTATATAAGACTCTTCCGGGAAACAAGTAAAAAGTAGACAATGGCTAAAATTATTCCATTTTCAAAAATATAAATTTTAAAAACCAGAAGGTGCACTGACTATGCTCAAATAAAATAAAATGGAGTCACTTTTGTTTTATAAAGTTTAAAGATAATGAAATTGTAAAAAAAAAACATTGATATTTATTTGAATTGCAAATCAAATGCATAATTACCAATAACATCAGAATTTAAAGAAGAAAAATTTTAAAAACATGCTCATTCTTAAAGACTGACAATCGGACCCCACAAATCGATGGGGAAACGCTCCTTGCTCCATCCAAGGAGTAAGACAGGCGACGAACCGGAAAGGATCAGGTATTGAGCAGCCTGGTAATATATGGGATTGGTGAAATCGGCAGCATTGTGAGGTGACCTTAGGTTTTTGTTTTTGATGGTGGAAACAAGTGGCGATGTCTTAACTGAAAGAAATGATTTACCAAAATTACATACCAGGATTTGACGTCTGTATCTGAGTGTCATGATATTAGTGATTTTGAGAGCTTCATTATAGGCCCATTGTTGATTTGAGATGTGAGTTTTACCCAGGTTAATCCTGACTGCTCTTTTATGAATCCTCTCCATCCTGCTCCACTGCAGAACTATCAGGGATGAATGCCACACTGGGCAGCAGTACTCCAGGATTGATTGTATATAACATGTATAAACTTTAACCATGTCACTGATGAAAGCACAGCATTTTTTCAAAAGACTGAGTGAGAATAATCGTGAGAGGTAAATTTCACTCACATGATTATCCCAACTTAAGTTACTTTGTGACATTAATGCCCAGAAGTTTAAGGCTATCAACCAGGAAATTATATTATCACCAATTGTAAAAGTTTGATTGACAATGGTTTTCTTAAAAAACTTATTGTCATGTGGTGACATTCAATTTGTTTTAATAGGAATCATGTAATTATGGGGACTCTAGTTTGCGAGGTCATGGATTGGATTGGATTTATTCGGTGTGAACACCAAGGATAGCCCACGAAAGTCTAGAAGAAGACTTATTTCCATTGATTTGCAAAGTGGAATTCTTTCCATGTTGGACACATTCACCAATAGTTAGGTCCATCGATGTATTTCCATTGTCTGCAGCTTCCTAGACAAGCATACTGTAATTAATTAACTAAGACAAGGATCGAACCCAATGTTATACCCTAAGGTACCCCACAAGTATCCATGCTTAAAGATGAGAGTGAAATAAACAAATTAGTATTGTGATGTGAGTTCTGTCTATGAGGAAGCTGCAGACGATGGGAATAAATGATCGCCTGATATTTCTTTGGCTCAAAGTGATTGGATACAGGTAGCACTTTTCTAGCAACATTTCCCAAGTGCCTGGCCCTTAAATCTTCTTGGATCCTCTCCCTCTAGGGAAATCACTATTTTATGCTAGACGGTCACGCTACGTTAAATTTTCAACATCAGTTTATTTTAATAAAATCTAAGAAAATAAAATACTTATTGAGTATATTTATCTATTTGTAAACAATTATTCTATTATTATGGTAACTAATAACAGTCGTATTAAGCTTAATATATTGGTAATTCTAGGCCTAAGTCATTACTCACAGCCCATTGTGCGAAGCATGCACTCATCACACACCTGTCTCTTATACACATCTTAAATCATGTGGCTTGTTATGTCTACGGAAGCATCATGAGTGTTTTTGTGCTGATTGGTCAAGGTTTAAGTCATTTTATCCAGAAGAACTCAAATGATGTCACAAGGCTTGATCATAATGTGCATGTAAGCAGTTTTTTTTTACTCTCACAATAAGCCAATTCGTGGCTCAACAGCACATGCCCCTATCCAAGGTTAATTGACATAAACCTATGTTGTGTATATGTTAGTGTGTGTAGATTTACCTTCATACGGGTGTACAAAATTCAAACTACGAATTTGCTTATTGTATTGAGAACATTTTCTGTTCTAATCATTTTTGGGTGTGCTACCCTCTAGAGGCCAGTGATGCTTTTTTTTATCATCACTAGATTGAAAGTGAAACTAAAGAATCTACAGGTTATATCCAGCAGTATCCATAGAGTGTTTCCAGCAATAATAATCATAATAATGATATTTATAATGATAATAAAATTTAAATACAGAAGGGCCAATACACCATTTGCATGCCAATTATTTAATTTATTGTGGCAATCATCATTAATGTATTATTATTCTACATAATGTGACCCATTCTTTCTAGCAAAAACAGACTTTTGTTTTGAAAAAATAACAAATCTTAATCTAGAGATAAAAAGCTAATAATTGATGCAAAATTTTTAAAAGATGGATAACAAATGGCGAAGATATAATTTATATTTTCAGTCCAACATGCATGATGGTTAATACATGAGAATTTTAGCTGATTTGGAGACTTTGACGACAAGTGCCTGGTTTTGCTGGTCACATAGTGAGAGTACTTAACAATCACAAAAACAATAAAATTATCGTATCCAGTAGACTGTGGACACATATGTCTCAATGGAGCATACTTTCAAATCTAAATGTATAAAATCAAATTTTCTTTGTAAGTTTTTATGCATGAAGACCAGTAATTTGTCTTTCATATCATTTAGGTGCTCTCAGAAGAGGACGAGATAGAGTTTGATTCTTGTTTAGGCTCCGATACATTAAACTTTGTTTTACCTGTTAAGAAGATTAATATCAATATTCTTATACATGCTCTTCTTGCTGGACCTCTATGTGGAGTTGGTCTGTCGTATCTGCTACCTTCTACATTAGAGAGCTTGTTTAATCATGTTGGTGCAACTGTCGTTTTGTATGTATTCGGTTGGTTTACAATCTGCGTTGCTCAGTATTCCTTAACAGTGACATCACCGCCAGAAACAGTGAATTTCAGGAGCACAGATCCTTATGAACTTCGACCTCTGATGCGGCCATTTTATGTTTACATTTTCCTTGCATTTCATGTAGTACACTGGTGAGTATTGATAACATATATTTTTTAATTCATTAGGCCAAAAAAAAATATATTTTCTGTCTCTGGTCAGACCAAAGTTACAGAATTGATGCGGCGATGCGTTTTTTTTTTTTGGTGTTTTTTTTTTCCTATTTTTTTATTTATTTATTTTTTTTTTTGAAAAGCATGGAAGTACAGAAAAGGTGTTTTTAATATTTTTTTATGTTCTGCTAATGCTATACATTGTTGTCCTTTCACATTGTCCTCGATTTCGCTTCATTTGCCAAGGGGACCGCGTCTTCATCATCATTATTAGCATTAATGGGTATGCTTTGAAAAAATCCGACGGGCGATGATCCCACCATAGCCGTGACCTTCTTTGATCCAGGGTGCAATTGTCGCTCACCACTGCTTGAGGACGACGGATTTTCATCACATAGGCCTACTTACATACTCAGCAATCTCGGCGAGCTACGTAATCGCACGATAAAATGCCAAAAGGTCCCTTATATTCCGGTGTATAACCGCACCCCTAAATTTTCACATAAACAACTGGAAATGCATGTAAAATTCAGGCTTCCGCAATGAAACAATGTATTCTTGCTCTAGGGAAATCACTATTTTATGCTAGACGGTCACGCTACGTTAAATTTTCAACATCAGTTTATTTTAATAAAATCTAAGAAAATAAAATACTTATTGAGTATATTTATCTATTTGTAAACAATTATTCTATTATTATGGTAACTAATAACAGTCGTATTAAGCTTAATATATTGGTAATTCTAGGCCTAAGTCATTACTCACAGCCCATTGTGCGAAGCATGCACTCATCACACACCACGTTTTATAAACAAAAACAGAAGTGGAGAAATATCGCGAGATACAAAGTTTACGCATGCGCAGATGACGAATGCCTTTCTAAAGTCAAATTCAAGTAAAATAATTATTACAACTTCAAGAAAGAAAACTTGTGTTTTTATAGCATAAATTAATTTCACAAGTTTTTATTCTGAAATTATAGCAGATCATTCTCTGTATAACGGTACAAGCCATCGGGAACCCGGAACCGCGAACAGCAAGTTTCAACAACCAGCCCACGTGTGTTTTGTTGCGACATTCGTAAATGAGGACCAAACTCGCGAAAAGTAGTTTGGTAGTTTTTGTAGGCGGTTTGAACAGCAACAACGTGTTTCATATTATTGTTTATGAACAAACATAATTACTGTATGAATGAATTAGACAACCCAAACCATTGCTTGAATGTCGTAGAAATCGTAGTAGGAATCCTAGTACAGCATGCACTGTAGTATA